CCTTTTCAGTTTATCCTCCTCCCCCAGACAACCACTATTTTGATGACTTCTATCTCCATAGATTAGTTTTGTCTATTCTTAAATTTCACATAAATGGAATCATGCAGTACGTTCTCTTTTGTGGCTGGCTTCTTTTGCTCAATGTAATTGTTTTGAGATTTATGCTGATTGCTGCAAGTAACAGTAGCAGTTCCTTTTTTAATTGCTGGATAATATTCCATTCTATGAATTTACCACAGTGTGTTTATCCATTATTAATTAACACAGAAGCTGAATGGCCACATGCTGGTGCTTCAATAAAACAAATGTAGCAATTCCTGTTCTTTCAAATCTGCAGTTTATACTTGGCTTTTGCTAATGACTATATCCAGATCCAAAGCTGATTTTTAATCCTTCAGTCCTCAAAGAGAGCACGAGAAAAACTTCTTGAGAGTCTGAAGAATCTGAGCAGAAAGCAGGAGTAAGAGATAGGAGGTATTAGGGGAGATATCTTCAACATGAACCAAATTTGCTCTAGGTCCTGGCTCTTGTCAAGCATTGTGAAAAGACTGAATTAAATGCAGGTCTAACCCTAACCCTCTCTCAGTGTTATCTTCCTCTTATCTTTCCTAGCTCTTTTGACCACTGGTTAAAAATTATTTTTCTCTGTAGACAATCTAAAGGCTTTCACCTATTCAAGAAAGCCTTGCTTGCTTGGGTAGTCTGTAGTTTCAGTTAGAATGACAGTGAAGGCAATGGTGTATACAGAAATGTATTTTGAGTTCCTTTCCTTGTGACCAAGCACACATCAAAAAAGCAGGAAGGAAAGTTGGAGGAAATTATGCAATTTATTATGATTTCTCATCATCAAGAACTTGTGTCCATGGGGAAAGAATAATAGTTCCTATAAAGATTTCTTTTGGTTATTTGTGATTCCTCCCTCAAGAGCTTTAAAACAAATTTTGAGAACGCATAGCCAAATCTAGTTTGATCTAATTTGTTAGAAAACAAATGAGATCAATCTAATTTGATCTAATTAGTTAGGTGTCCTCAGGAAACATCATTCCAGATGAGAACGGAGCAACCAGCATTAAAAAAAAAAAAAAAAAGAATAACTGAACATTATACCGAGATTATAAAAACTCATTATTGCAAATACTGTGGATAAATAATGGTTCCTAATTAGAGATTAATTTTAAGCCAGTGACTATTTACAGAATCAAATCTTTAACGGTTCTATAGGTATAATTTTTTTTTTTTTTTTTTTTTTT